TTTGAATGATATATATATATATATATATATATATATATATATATATATATATATATATAATAATTTCATACTTATTATGTTGACTCCTTACTATATATATATATATATATATATATATATATATATATATATATATAAGTAAGGAGTCAACATAATAAGCATGAAATTTTATTGATCTGTGATTTATAAAAACAAATCAAGTGAAGTTATTTCAGGAAAAATGATTTTAAAACAACTGATGAATGCATAAATACTAGTAATTTTATGAGTTGCGGGGTTGTCATTACGTATTTACATGATGACTAATGTCCTCATCTTTGCTGTTATCATCGCAGCTTTACGACATTCATCAGGTATATATGTCGATCCCGGTAACCTACAAGGAATTTTATACTGAACTAATCTACGGGGGAAGATTGCTACCGTTTCACCGCCACCTCCCCAAGTTTCGTTAAATTTAAGGCTCCACCTTCTCCATACAGAATTGACCTAAGGGACATATTACTGGATTAAATCGTTGGGTTGTAAATTTGGTGACATATTAATTATGAGTTCAGTCCCTGGGTCGAGCAGTGTGTACTTTGACAGGACTCTTGGGCCTCGTATACGGTGAACAATAGTATAAAACTTTTACTTTACTACTTTTACGGTATAGAGCTGTTTATACTAGAAAAATCATAAAACCTTGTCAGTTAAATTTAATTAAACTTGTTTAAATGAATTACAATTTATACATACATACACACACACACACACACACATACATACATACATATATATATATATATATATATATATAGTGAGAGAAAGTTTAAATTTTGCTATATTTTATTACATTAGATAGATAGATAGATAGATAGATACCGTACCTATGAACACTAATGGGTATGTCACAATCTTCATAAATACGTTGGATACTATTGCAAGTGAGGGTAATATGCTGTCTAAATAGTCCACTACTAGAAGGGCTTTACCAACTTCCTGCCGTTGGCGAATATTGTATTTTGTTGATGTCATAAAGATTACCGTTAAAATTCCAATCTCCATTTTGGTTATTCCTCATTCAGTAACCCATTCTAAGTTGCAACAATAGATAGATATTTTTTTTCTAATATTTATTCTTGCTCTTCTTTTTCTTCCCTTTACTAGTTTATTCTAATATTTCTTCTTTTTCTTCATCACATTTTCTCCTATTATTTCTTCCATTTCTTCTTTTTCCTCTTCACTTTTATTCTAATATTTTTTCTTTTTTTTTTCACTTTTTCCTTGTACTTCCGTATTTTTTTTTCATTCTTATATTTAATTTTTCTGTATAAACAAATCTTTTGAATAAAGGATTCTTTATTTCAATTGCATTTTATCTGACAATTCCAGGAGTGAACACCTTGTTCAGATGTCGACGAAAGAGGCGCCTTTATATTGGAATGGAAACCTCACGCACCGAATCCTTTCATAGCTCTACCATGGTTACCAGAGTATAATTCTCCAGTTTTTAGAACGGTAATTTGAAAATTATTATTATTATTATTATTATTATTATTATTATTCTCCTCCTCCTTTAATGCAAAGATTCCCGTTTCTTTCTCAGACAATCGTCAAATTTACATTTCTCGCTTTCATTTTTTGTTTTACTCTCTCTCTCTCTCTCTCTCTCTCTCTCTCTCTCTCTCTCTGTTTCGGCCGCTTTCTTTCTAGGTATTTCTTATTCTCCATCGACTTTTTCTATCTCTTTCCCTCCCTCTCGCTCTCTCTCTCTCTCTCTCTCTCTATCTTTCTTTTTCTCTCTCTTTATCTCTCCTCTCTCTCTTTCCCTCTCTCTCGTTTCACTTCTACTTTTCTCTTAAATGTTTTATTTATATCTCTCTCCTTCTTTCACTCATTCTTTGTTTGTCACCCTTTCCTTCTCTGACATTGTCATTCAGAAAAATGTTTGCTTCATGTTACCTCTTCACAAAAGCACTCTTCATTGGTATCTGAACAACTATTCTAATTTTTTGCCCAAAGAAATTTCGTAATTACTCAATTTTTTTTCTCTGGGAGATAATCAATTATAAACACACTTATTCGACAGATGACAAAATAATGTTTTAACCCGGAAACTAAATTAATCACAGTCCAAATCGATGCTTAATCTAATTTATTTTCTTAAATGACCATGACAAAATAGAAATCGTAATACATTTGGTCAACATCTGTTTCTTTCAATGACAATGAAAAGATCAAAGTAAAACAATGAGGAATGTGCTACTTTGCCTGAAAAAAAAAGAAACAATGAAACAACTGTTCTATTAAGAATGAAAAGCAAGAATATTCCACTTTGTCAGCGCCAATTCCATAGAATTACAAATATAAAAAATGTAAACTCATAAATTCACATCGTTATATTGTCTCCATGGAGATTGCATTTGTAACACGTGTACATTATAGAGAAATTATTAAAATTGCAATAACTGAATTTCAGTATTTTATGCCACAGAAGGGCGTTCTATGCATACACTTTGATTCAAATGACACCTTCCGAAGAGACAAGAAGTAAATTATTCCTGCTTAGTGTGCTTCTCTGCCATTTTTTTTTCACTTTCGAAATTCATAGTTTGCAGTGGTGTAATGTATGGCTGTACGGATTGAGAAATCGGAGAACTGAGTTCGAATTCTAGTCGAGTTTATTACATTCACTTACGTGCAAATACTCTTGGAAAATGTACGAATTCATCTTTTATAAAACTATGGGTAAAGAGCAGAACATACTGGGTCTTATAGCCTTGGGTGGCAACCGGTCTAGGAGAAGGAAAGCTCTGGATTTAAAACCTCCAACTATGAGTTAAATAGCCTCACCAACCCGCAATTGAGCAAGCGTGGTGGGTATGGTTACACCCCCTGAAGACATGGTCAATCAGGGAGGGGTTCCTCCAACAAGAGGGAAAAGGCTTTGGATAGAGATCCGATGTGATTTCGGCGACCCTAGGAAGAATTAGAAAGTTTGCACTTAGTACGTCTTCATAGAGCAAGTCAGGAAAAAAATGGTAACACCATCTTTTGGTAGAACGGCAGCCATTAATTATTTCTTTGCTGATTGAATTAATTGATGAGAACTGCTACAGGCGTTAAAAATTAATCTTGTCAAGTGTGAACAGTGGGAAAAAATCGGTAAGACAAAAGAACAGTTAATCCTTTCTCTCCATTTTTACAGTTCACCCTGTACAAGACCTGAAGGCCACTCGAGGTAGAGTGTTACAAAGTAAGAGGCACAGTTTATGCGGACAGGTGGGGAAGATAATGGTTAATCCTAGTCTTGAACAGGGTATGATTGAAGTGATCGGGGGAACATTTTTAGGAATTTTTGAATAAGAAGGTTTCATTTCTAATTTATTTCTTCATAAAATGGTATATAATAAAACTTTGTAACAGGTAAATAATAAATCTTGCATTGTACTTGGCTCATATATTTTTATAATCTTGTAAATAGATATTACCGAGGAAGTCAAAAGTGTATACAGTAATAGCGGTGTCAAGGGAATAACTGCCCTTTTGAAACACTGTTTTTAGCTGCGGACACGAAGGTTAAATATTGTCAAAAACTCGAATTGCCAAGGCTGTTAGTACTGTTCGGTAAGAATAGCAACTACATCCCCAGCGACAAACAATATTGATTTCGCTCTTTCTAGGTCCACTGCCCATATTCTAAATGTCATTACACGCAGAATCAGTTAGGTACTCAACAATAAATTCCTTACTAGAGAGATCGCCTTAGATATTTCAAAGGCTTTTAACAAGGTGTGACAAGGTGCGGCATGAGAGGTTGCTGTATAAACCCTCCAGTTACGTAATCTCTGAAAGAGTTTACACAATTATCAAGTCCTTTATTCTTAAGGTCGGTCTATGAATGTCGTGATTAATGGCCAGTCGTCTGAAGTCCATGTGGCCAATATATATGTTCCCCAAAACTCTCTTCTCGGTACAAACCCACTTTCTGCTATATATTAACGATCTACCCAAGAATATACTCAAGTAATTAGTAAATATATTTGCAGAAGGTGTTTATAGATGCCCCTCCAAAAATCGAGATGACTGGAGCATAACAGCTGTTCTTTCTTCTGGCCTCGTCTCAATGGCGTGTATCATTAAATACCTACCAAACCTAACCAGTAACGTTTCTTCATCACTTAGCAGAGCCTAAATTTCCGCCTGTCATGATGTATGCTTGTACTCTCACGGAAATTCCTTGCCGTGAACGTCTATTAGGTTCACCACAGACGTCAAGTGAGACTCATATATACAGTCCATACTGTAAAGATGCTGGAAAAATGGTTAGTTCCTTGTAACACTCCAGAAAGTACTTGACACCACCAGCCATGTTCTATCTTTTAAAAGATATTAAGTATTGCTGCCATGCATGGACTACTGTTGCCATATATGATCTGGTGCCCTCGCTATTCATTTGGAGCTTCTCGACAAAATCCAAAGACGAATAGGCAATATAATCGATCCTGACTCCAATCACTTTCTCACCGACGTAATGTGGCTTCCCTCTGTCTTTTCTATAAATATTTTCATGGCATTTGCTCTGATGAGATATTTTCACTGGTGCCCCGACTGCGTGAATTCAAAAAAGATGAGTTGGCTTAGAAAATCGCTATCGAATTGATATTGATGAACTAGAATTATACAGATAACTTCAAGATTGCAAATGGTTAATCAGAAAAGAATACATTCCTGTTGACTTGCACCAAAGTTTGTAACAGATCTAATATTGTGTACTTTTATATAGTAAAGATACTTTCTCAAGTTTATGAATTAGTTTATAGATTTCGTTAAAAAATTAGGATTTCTTTTGCAAATTATAAAAGATCTTCCAGCAAGCCGAAGCTAATTCTCACCTCAAAGATTCAAGAGCAACGTGGTAATAGTAAGTACTAAAATTTGATAATTACTAAATGCATTAGCAGCAGCAAAATCATAAAAGGTTCATGTCTTATACTAATGGAAATAAAAAATATCCATGAATACCAGAGAACTACTTATTCAAAATTAATTTCATTATATAAACAGTTCGATAAACAAATGAAATTTGCTATTTGTAAACTTAAGTCATACTTTATAAATCTGTTTAAGAATCCAGATTCACTCCAAACGACTGGTTTCTCATATAAAAACAAGTTTCAAAATTAGGGATATAACTAGTTCTCTTAGCTGCATGGGAAGATACCATAATTGCAAACAGACTGATATGAATTCCTAAATAAAACAATTTTTTTTCTATCAGTATGTTATAGAGTTCGGCATAAATCGCTTTATACAAGCCAAAACAAAATCAAAAAGTAGATTGATATTAAGATAGCCGATTAATGATAAAGACGAATGCCTAGCCTTTCTTTTCAAAGATCGAAGAGAAGAAAAATAAAATCAGCAGTAGTAAATCCTATCTAAGAAGCATAAAGAATTCGTCGCTCTTCCGGTGACAGTCAATTGATAGATATTAATCTTTTCGTTAAAAGGAATCGTCTTCAGAAATACAGTCAGTATGAAGAAGATCTGCTTTCTTATTTCAAACTAACGTCGTAACCAGATAACCAAGGATGACGGGTTATAAATTGGCTTTTTTCACGGATGCAGACGCAATTCATTTGCAGACAGTATACATTGATTGAGAATTGAAAGATGAACAAACAAAGAAAAAGAAAAATTGAGGGGGAATAGATTTAGATGCGTGCGGAGTAAGAATAACTGCAGCCAAGATGGGAAACATTCAGGTAGACCAAAATAAATTTGCATGAGTCAAAAGAACAAAAATAAAAAAACAATGAGATTTTAATAATCTTGATTTTAATAATGACGACGACAGAATGCAGGAACAGGACAGCATGCAAATTACAAATTGTCGAGACCCAAATCCAAGCTATGCAGAAATTTAAATATCTGAGAAGTATTTAAAAGGGGACAGAAATTGTGATACTGAAATCTGAAGGAGCGCTGAGATAACGAAAAATGATTTCGAAAAGCTAAGCAAAGTATTAAGAAACAGAAAAATGTTTCTTTACAAACAAAGAAAGAAGTGTTGAACTATTACATAAAATCAGTCATCTTATATGACACTGAATGCTGAACAATCTCCTCACAGATGAAAAAAAAACTTGAAGCAACAGAAACGTGGTTCTACAGAAGGATGCTGAGAATATCATGAACCGAACATGAGAGCAGCGACGCAGTTTTAGAGAAAAAAAAAGAAACAAATAAGACTCTTATAAATAACATCAAAAAAAGGCAGTTGAAATTTCTAGTGCGCATAATGAGGAAAGAAGGCTTGGAAAATTTGATGCTCAGATTGAAGGGAAATGGGACTGAGGAAAACAATGCATAACTTACCTGTCAAGCTTGAGTTGATTTTGGAACAAAGTTTAGGATTGATAACAAAAAGACAAAATTTATTAAGAGCTACAACGTCCTGAATAGATATATAAGAAGAAGCATGTCGATATTAACGCTACTTTCACAGGGTGTGTTTTAGTATCTTCTTAACAAATTTGATTTAAAAGAGCAGACAAAATATGTCTGTCTAAACTTTTATTATATTTTTTCCAATTTTGGAAAACTTGTTTGAATGCATACTTGCTGCCTAAATATACCTTATATATATATATATATATATATATATATATATATATATATATATATATATATATATATATATATATATATATATATATATATATATATATATATATATATAAGGTATATTTAGGCATCAATTTTTCATTAATGCATGTTTCATTAAATAATATAGACAATTTTTTTTTCTATCGCGTACTCAATTCCGGAAAATCCTTGTTGACAACACAACTATACTTAAACATGAAAACAATAAACAAAAATTAAAAATTCTTGAAGCTTTATACATAAAACAGTTTAAAC